CCTTGCACCAAAAAACGAGTCCAATTTCGCGAAGCCACGATCTCTTGTAAATAGCTGTGGATCCGCGCTTCCCCTGCCACGATCCCTGACAAAAAGCTTGTGGCTCCGCGCTCCCGTTGCCACGATCCCTTGTAAAAACTGTGGACGCGTGCTCCCAGGAACACACTCCCTCGTGAACAAAAAACGGACCCGTGCTCTGGAAACAACGATCCCTTGTAGATAACTGATGATCCACGCTACCGAAGACACGATCCCTGATCCGCCACAGTGCCTGCACGGAGTAGTCGTGTTAGAATGCTAGTCTGTTGCCTGGGAGGTTAATTTACGTTTTCTAGGGCCGACCCCCCTCCATGGACGGCACGCGTCCCTTGAAAATCGCCTCCCCTGAATTTGCGTTCTGGCGCCCTTTTCGGTCTACAGACGACCAGGAAGATGGCCTCCAAGAAGGCTTCCAAGGCAGCCAAGATGACACCAAGACGGCCCAAGATGGCCCAAGACGGCTCAAGAGGCTCCCAAGATAGCCTCAAGACAGCTCAAGAGGCCCGCAAGAGGGTTCTAAAAGGCCTTCCTGGAAAGCCCGAGGAGGCCAAAACCATTGGTTGTCTTTGGGTATTGATAGATTTGAGGCTCTCGCCTGTTTGGGTTTCCCCCCGCCCAAGACGGCCCAAGAGGCCTCTAAGAGGCCTCCGAGATAGTTCCAAGACAGCCCAAGAGGCCCCCAGCAGGGCCCCAAGTCAGCCCAAGAGGACCCAAAGATCGCCCGAGGGGCTCCCAAGAGGGCCCCCAGACGGCCCTGAAGCGCTCGAAGAGGGCACCAAGACGGCCTACGTACAGAGGCCCCCAAGACGGCCTCCGAAGGCATCAGATGGGCCAAGAGCCCCCTCAGAAGGCCAGAAGCCCCAAAAGGCTCCCAAGGGGTCCCAAGAGGCCCCTCAGGAAACTCCCAGGAGGCCCTGAGGAGGCTCCCGGGAGGCCCCCAGAAGGCCCCAAGAATGACCATGACGGACACCACCGGCTCCGCAAGTTCAGATAAACAATCCTGAACGGGCGAAATTCCAAATTTACGGGGCAGCGTTTCGCACTTGCGCTCATGGCCCATTCTGCACTGCGCGCAGCTCAAGAAACTACGCGCGTCCAACAATTCTAACCTTATCCAAGCAAAGCACTCTGATAGCAGCAAACGTGACCTGTGGGACCGGTGGGACCTGCGGGACCTGTGGGACCATCGAGACCTGCGAGACCGAGCTCTGGAACCTGTGGGAAATGTGGGAGCCCTGGAACCTGTGAGGGACCTGCGAGACCTGCGGGACCTCCGAGACCTGCGAGACCCGCGAGACCTGCAGGACCTGCGGGGGGACCTGCGAGGCTGCTTGGGATCCTCCCTGAGAGCCCTAGAAGCCTTCTCCTCTTCGTGCTCATCGCCTCCCTCTCCTCCTCCTTCTCCTCCTCCTCCTCATCATCATCATCCTCCTCATCCTCCTCATCCCTCCTCCTCCTCCTCCTCCTCCTCCTCCTCCTCCTCCTCCTCCTCCTCCTCCTCCTCTCTTCCTCTTCCTCCTCCTCCTCCTCCTCCTCCTCCTCCTCCTCCTCCTCCTCCTCCTCCTCCTCCTCTCCTCATCATCATCATCATCATCATCATCATCATCATCATCATCATCATCATCATCATCATCGTCATCATCGTCATCATCATCCGCAGCAGCATCATCAGCATCATCAGCATCATCAGCATCATCATCATCATCAGTAGCAACAGCATCATCATCATTATCATCAGCAGCAGCAACAGCATCACCATCATCATCAGTGCATCATCATCATCATCATCATCATCATCATCGTCATCAGCAGCAGCAGCGTCATCATCCTCAGCATCATCATCATCAGCAGCAGCAGCATCAGCATCATCATAATCGTCAGCGTCATCATCAACAACATCAGCAGCATCATCATCATCCGAATCATGCTCATCATCGTCAGCATCATCACCATCATCATAATCAGTATCATCATCAGCAGCAGCAGCATCATCATCATCCTCATCATCATCATCACCACCATCATCATCAGCATCATCATTAGTATCATCATCATCCCCAGCGCGCGGACGAAGAAGATGTCGAGATCACGACCGTCCCCAGTTCAGACCACTCGCGGAACTGCCGAAGGGTGTGAACTCGACCTCCTTCCGACCACGCGGACGAAGACGAGGTCGAGTTCACGACCCGTCCTATCAGACCACTCGTCGGAATTGCAATGTTCCTACACTCAGCCTCCTTCCTGCTGCGCTGTTGCACAAGCACGGTAGCGGGGTTTGCCGCAGGCAGCTGGATACAAAGCTTATGGAGCCGTGCTCCCAAGGCCACGATCACTTGCAAAACTGTGGATCCGCGTTCCAGGGGGCACGATCCCTTTCGAAAGACTGCGGGTCCGCACTCCCGAGGCCACAATCCCTGACACGACCCCCTGAAAAACCACAGCGGGTCGCTCTTCGAACTCGCCCGCCAGCCACCCAGCTAGCCTTCCAACCAGCTGGCAAACGCGAACAAGCCCATCAGCCAACCAACTAATGAATCTACCAACCGTTCATTCAACCAGCCCGCCCGGAAGACCCAACCACGCATGCGATCAGGGAGGGGGGAGCCGGCGGCAGGGGACGAAGCCCTTCAGATCATTGATTATGACCGACTGTCGCTCCATCAATTAATCAGACTATCGCTCAGTCTGTCGGTCACCCAGCCTGTCAATCGGGCAGTCAGTCGGTCAGCTGGTCAGTGAAATCAATGGGTCGGTTGGCCACTGACGTTTAGTCAGTCAGCCGATCACCGTCACTCAATCGATCAGTCAGTCAGTCAGTCAGTCAGTCAGCCAGTCATTCTGACAGACAGACAGACAGACAGACAGACAGACAGGCAGGCAGGAAGGCGACCGTTTGCTCAGTCGGCCAGTCTGTCAGCCTGTCAATCAGTCAGCCTGATGTATGGTCTCGCCTGCAACACGGCAGTCCGCTGGGATCCCAAGTCTCGTTGGCCCCGCCGACTCGCCACAGCGGCTGATGCAATCCGCCGTAGCAGCTTAGACATTCGCAATATCGGCCCAATGTACACCGCACGGGACATCGACTGAATTCTGCCCGGACTCAGATGAGTAACGTGAATGGGCCAGATGATCGCATGGCTCTGTACAGCTGCGGGACAAACCCTTGATTACGTTTCTGAGGTCGTCGCCGCTCCGCCGCTCTTCCTGGATCATGGGCACACTGCTACGTGAGACTCGCGGCCGATGCGGCGTGAGGCACGCACAGGAAGCAAGTCCAGCTCAATGACCTGAAGCCCATCCAAGATGCAAGCGGGCGCATTGTTCCAGTACCGCTGTCGCTACGCAACCATGCGAGGAAAATTATCACTAAGGGCAGCGCGAGTTTCTTGACGGGAGGCCCCTGAGACTGTCCGATTTGCTGCCTCCAGCGGAGCGCAGAACGGCACGGCTGCTTTGGCGCAAGACGCCCAAGTTTCCGCCAAAATGGCTTGGCCCAAGGCTTCCTGCACGACAGCCACCCTGACACCTGAAGCCAGAAGCCGTGTCGCGGCATCGCTGCCGCCGCCGCTGTCAGCGTCCACCCGCCAGCTCCTTCTCGCTTGTGCCATCATCGTTATCCGACCCCACATGTCCACCCTCTCGACCCTCTCTACCTCCTCCTCCTCCTCCTCCTCCTCCTCCTCCTCCTCCTCCTCCTCCTCCTCCTCCTCCTCCTCCTCCGCCTTCTCCTCCGCCCCCTCCTCCTCCTACTCCTCCTCCGCCTCCTCCTCCACCTCCTCCTCCTCCTCCTCCTCCTCCTCCTCCTCCTCCTCCTCCATTCCTTATCCTTGTAACTAATTTCTCCCTGTCGCACGCCGAAGCCAGTTTTTTTTCCTGTCGAGAAGGTGGGCGAGAGACCTCGCGCAGTGTGAAAGTGCGCGGCAGCACCAACTATCAGCCTGATGTGGGAAGCACCCATCTGCCTCGCGGCGTCCCTGGAACACGCACAGGCAGCGCTTCACCAGCACTCACACTCACAGGAGGGGCAGCGGCACGAGAGAGCAGTCGAGACCTCGGCTGGCCTTCGGAGGACCATGCATCAGCTATTTGTCTGTGGCGGCGGGCAGTGACGCGCAATCTAGCCTCAAAGACCTGCTGGGGCGTGCCACGGGCAGACGCACGCCTGGCATTATGAGCCGCCAGGAACGCATCAAGGCACGCAGCACGTTTCAAGCAGGCGGGCACGGAATCATAGTGGAGGAGGAGGCAAGAGGGGAACCAGTTGGGGCTCACGGGTCCTTCAGAGACACAGAGTTGATCACCAAGCCATGTATACATAATCGAACACAACCTCGGACAATGGGAATAATGACGCAGAGAATCAAGATCTTCACCCTCCATCCTTCCTTCACATCCAAAGAGGCAGCCAGCAGGAGCGGAGTGGAAACGCGCTGAGGCACAAAAGGCTCCAGTCAGAACTCGAAGCGGTGCAATGCCAATATACATGGAGCTCGCTTTGCACACTTCTTAACCATACTACACATGCGAGCGATCTGCTGGGCAGTGACAGCCTTACAAAAATAATGAGCACGCCGTAAAAGAGTATCCCGAACAGGTTCAGAATCTTCAAGAGCCCGAATACGCTTGTACAACTTACCCTGGATCGATTTTGGATTCCACCTCAGGACCGTCGGTTTAAGGCCAGAACACTTGTCCCAGAGCAACCGCATATGCCCAAGAAAAGAGGAGGGGTTCCAACCACGGTGCCAGCGATAAGGGATGTGCTCAAGGTCACCGCGGGTCCTCTCAAGCTCCTCAAAGACGCCAGGAAAGTCGGGGCATTTGAGCATAAAGCGAAGGGCAGCGGCTTGTGCGACAGCGCTAATCTCAACGAGCTCGATCCCAAAGCCAAACGCCTTCAGCTTGGTGGCATTGTTATAAGAGATGGCGTTGCGAGGCCCCGAAGTCAACAACATTACACTTTCCCGAAACTTGTGAACCAGAAGCTGATCCGGAGGATAAAGCTGAAGACGAAACAGCAACTTCGAAACGCACATCACCTGGAAAGCCAAGGCCGACCTCGCAATGCCCAGTCCCAACAGCCGAGTTTGGTGCACCCGAGCCAGGAACCCAGGAAGGATAGACTGCCAGACGTGCAAGTGGGCCTCGGGACCGATCGGGAAGCCAAGATACACAGCCCAGGAGAGGACTTGAATTTCACAGAAGGGTGCGCCAAAGCTCTTTAAAACCTCTCGAAGGCGCTGAGGATCGGTCGTGCCACATAAAATCAACTGGCACTTCTTGAAGTTCAGCTGTAAATTCGCAATCTTAGCAAGCAGCATCAGGCCGTGCAGCACAGGGCTAAGATCGGTGAGGACGTTCACCAGGCCAAACTAGAAGTCATCTGCGTATGCTAAGTTCAAGTCGATAAATCGCGAGCATCGGTGACGTAGCCATCGCAGGAGGGGGTCGACGGCCATTACGAAAAGGTACATTGAAGCTGGACAACCTTGCTTTACCACCGACTCCAAAGCTATAATATCAAAACGGCGACCATTGAGGCAGATGACCCCCTTGTTATCAGCATACATCATTTCGAAAAAGCGTATAACATAATAGTTAGTGCCCATGCACTGGAGCACACAGACAAGCCAGCACTGCGCCAAGGACGGGAAAGCGGACGCGAAGTCCGTCAGGAACAGAGATGGGCGAGGAGCATCGCGTAGGTGCTGAGCAAGGCCCCATCCCTCCGCCCTGATAACATTAGATATCATCGCCCTCCCTTTCACACATTTTTGCTCGCTCCCTATCAGGTGCATGGTGTGAGAGACCACAGGCGTGATAAAGGCGCTCGCGAGGATTTTCACATCGGCGTTGCTCATGCTGAGGGGACGGGTGCACGAGGGGGAGCGAACCAGGCCGTCAGCAGCATTATCCTTCGGGCCCGTGCCCTTCGGAAGAAAAAGCATCAAGCTCAACCTCATGTCTTCGGGTAGTTGAGTGACGCTATCTGTGAAGAGGAGAAGATAACAGGAGTACAATAGCCGGGAGGCCTCATGATGTTTCCAGACAGAGCAGGGTATCCCATCAGGGCCCGGCATCGAAGTGTTGCGCTTAATCAGCAACTGACGCCAATCATAATAGTCAAGCTTCCATGCACAGTTAATGGGTCCATCAAGGGTCTGAATGAAGGGCTTCACCTCATCCCAGAGCTCCTGATCCACGGAGGGGGCCTTGAACACCTCAGACCAATGTTTAACGAAGAAGACGAGCGGCCTCAGGAAGAGAGCTGGAAGGGGAACCAGAAGGATCCATAACCGAGCCCAAAACAGCACGCCGACGAAACTTCCTCCAGGGGGCTTGGCGGCGACGGAGGCGAGCAGCGATAGACCTTTTATGAGCCTCTTCAGCATCGCACATTGAAATCTCAGCTTCCTCGGCATCGAGGATCTTCTTGTAAAGACAGAAAACATGCTGGCAAAGGCCGTGAACGCGCGCGCAGTTCGCATCGTCATCGAAGTGGGCAGCAAAAGCCTAGGATAGCATCTGAGCGCCAAACGAATGCGTCGGCAATCATGCGAGTACGAGGCACGCAAGGCAGACAGAGCCCAGAAGTGCTTCTCCTGAAGCGTCACAGCTGGGCGAGCACGCAAAGCTCGTCGTGCAACGTCACCAGCTTCAAAGAAGAACTCCTTAGCAATACTAAGCTGAGACCACGCATCCCAAGGAGAAGGAATCTGACTAAGTAGATCATCAAGTGCCTGACCAAATTCAGGCAGCCCAGCAACCCACGGGGGGGTGATGGGATGACTGGAGTTGGGAATGAAACGATCCAGAACCGCTCGAACAGGTATGTGATCACTAGGTTGAACAGACTTCAGCGACCCAATCGTGGAAACGTTAATCGTAATGTCCCGAAGCATGGCCGGGTGGAGGGAGGTGTAGATCCTATCGATTCGCGAAGTCTTATCAACAGCAAGGCCTTTACGCCCACGACGGGCGCCGTCACCTTGAAACAGCTCCGCAAGGCCTGGGAAATATGTCCAAAAGAGGCGGGCGCGAGCAGAATCACCTGGGACCCAACCTCCTCCATCTCCTCGGAACCTCCCCTCCTCCTCAAGAACGAATCGCCCATAAATAGAACATGTGCTGGTGGCCCAGCACCATCAAGAACATGCTGTGAAAAATCTTTCTGGAGAACCTGAAGCACGCCACTGAAAAGAGAGAGAGGGTCGGAGGTGTTCGGGAGGTGAATGTTGTAGATGACCAGATTCCCGTTCTGCCCCTGGAGAATCGTTTTGAGGATTCTGCCCACGACGATCGGGCAGTGGTCGATCTGAGAGAACTGTGGGACGAGCCGCGCCGACACTGCCGTCACAACTCCACCTTCCGCAGTGGAGTCTCCAAAAAAACGAATAGCCGAATGCACGGGAGTCCAACTCGCGAGCGAGCTCATCAACGCCCCCTTCATGCCCGTGTGATTCTTGTACTGCGATGATGTCGTGGGTCATGCAATAATTGATGCATTGCTTATAACTTGCAGAGGCCCTCCAAGACTTCGCCCTGACCGAACAGAAGAGCGCTTCCGCGTTCCACGCGCAGAGCTTCACACCAGAGGAGGGGGGGAAGGGGGAGGAGGAGGAGGTGTTCGCCCAGAGCTCCCCCGAGGCCCGTCGGGCGAACACTAGATCACAAGGGGAGACTGCACTGGCGCGCTCACCACTGCCCGCCTCAGCGCCGAAAGGGGCGCCGCACAGGAACATTCGCTGCAGCAACGACGGAGGCCGAGTGCTCCAAAATATTGAATTCTAAGAAGGCATCGCGATCGATCTGGGTGTCGATCGAGCCGTCCTCCCCAACAATGATTTTGACTAGGGGGGCGGGGTCATGGGGCGAACGCAAAACATAAACAGAGCCACCAAGGCCCGCGCTTCCAACCTCGAGGCCCTTGGGCATAAAAAGGTCGGTAAGTAAGGCGCGCGCGCGCCCCAGAGACAGATACAGCTGCCGTCCGTTGAAATCCAAGTCACGCCGAAGGCGAAGGACTTGGGGTTGCTGCACATGCAGCGGGTCAGGGAAAGCCCACGATCCACCCGCCGCCGCGAACGCGTCGAGAAAGTGGGTAGCCGCCAGGGGGGTCTCGAACATGAACGCGATCTTGTTGCTGAGGTCGAATGCGCGCGCAATGATTTTGCCCCGGCTGTTCTGCGGGGCGAACTGGGGCACACATGCAGCACCGATCCTGCGGAGGTCAGCCACGAGGAAAGGACGAGGGAAGCCCAGCAAGAACCAGCGTGCACACATCATGCTGATGACGTTCGTGGCCATGGCCTACAGCAGCACCCGAGCCCCCCACACGAGGCGAAGTAGACGGCGGCGTCGGAGTCGACACGAGGGCGGCGATGCACGCCGAGGCCAGTTTTTTGGGTGGGCCAGGCGTTTCGCCTGAGACCTCATCACCATGTATGACCCTGAAGCTTAAACATTGGCAACAGAATCACAGATGGAGAGCGGGCCGCGTTCAATATGCGCATCTCGCCTTAGCGCCGTGCACATTCGTTTCAACAAAATGCAGGAGTATAACGGTTTGATGGCGGGTCGTTTTAAGAATGTGGCTCTCGCCTTATCGCCGCGCACGCTGTGTTCAAAGATGTGCAAGCGCATAACGAGTTGAGGGCGGGTCGTTTTCAGAATGTAGCTCTCGCCTTAGCGCCGCGCACATTCGTTTTTGTCGTTGCAAGAGCTCCACGGATTGAGGGCGGGTCGTTTTCATAATGCGGTTATCACCTTAGTGCCGCGTACATTCGTTTCTAACAAATTCAAGAGCTTCACGGATTGAGGGCTGCTCCTTTTCAAAATGTGGCTTTCGCCTGAGCGCCGCGCATATTCGCTTTTTAAATGCAAGAGTTGCACGGGCCCCTAGGATGAGCGCACCAGAAGCGGCAATTTTCTCATGGCGGCAAGGGTGTGCTTCAGGCAGGTCACTGCGGCAGCTCACTGAGGCAGGCACCACGCTGCGGCGACAGCTCACTGCGGCAGCCCACAACCTCTTTCGCTGTGGCAAATACGACTGGTTGCCAGATCTCAGCACCACTGCCGCTCGGAGGCGCGCCCCGGCGCAGAAAGAGCGGGGAGGAGGGAGGAGCGAGGAGCAGGAGGAGCACGAGAGACGACAGGAGGAGGGGCAGCCACCGCGATGGACACCAGTCGTTGCACATAGTCTTTTTTTCCGCAGCAAACACCCACCAGTCTCCGCCCCTGCTCCGATACCGTCTTCAATCCGCTCCCCCTCAATGGAGGCTATCACAATACCCATCGCACGGCTGCGAGGCTCTCTAACGGCAGAAATCGAGTGACAAATGCAAGTAAAGGAAAACGAGGAGGAGAGAAGGGGACATCGGCCTGCGTGCACCTAGCGACACAGGGAGTGATCAGCGTGGAGTCGTCGTCCGAATAGCCGGCACAACCGGCACCAACATAGTAACACCACGAAGCCCGGGGGAGAGAGGAGGGAGGGAGGAGAAGGGAAGAACAAAGGGCCGAAGAGGAAGAGGAAAGGATGTAAAACTGCGAGCGCCATCCCAAGCAGGCATTCTGCACATGAGACCCGCACACACGAGACGAGGCGGTGGACTGGGCAATAATGCACTCCAGTGGTTGGATTTATCAAGGCCGAGCGGGCGCCACTGTCAAACGCGGGAGCGCGGGTCAAGAGCGGATCCCGAGAGGGGAGCGGCTCCATGCCCCAGGGGCCCTGGCCGTGCAAACGGCACGCAGTCGCCAATTACACGCCGGGGTGCCCATGCACATAGTGTGAGCAGGGCACTGCAATTCCCACTCGTGCTGCCACCGTTGGCAACATAGCAGCCTGTTCAGAGACAGCACACCAGAGATCATCCTCGCTTCAAGTTCCAGGAGGTCCTCGCTGGAATGGGAAAGCATGCCAGAGACACGGTGACAACACGTCCCTACAAAAAGTATTGCCTCCTGCAGTGGGACAACGTCCGAGCACTGTAGCCCCTGGTGCGGCTCAAAAGAAGCGTGAGATCCGCGCACCCGCATCATGCTGATTTGGAGTCCCAACATCAGCGTTCAAGCAACGGTTCGTTAAACTCCAGGGTAAGTTGGTCATCTCATCCCAGACGTGCATCGGAAGCCTAACGCTAAAAAGGAGGAGCCGTTTGAAACTTGCTCTGGGCAACAACCGATCAGATTGGTCAGGCTCCGAATTCCGTACTGGGGGGGGAAGCGGCATGCATCAAGCACCTCCGCCCCACCACCAGGAGGTAGATCCCTTCATCAGCCCATGGGATCTGGAAAAACGTTCTCGCACGACCCTCCGACTTCGCAGGGCAAGCCGCGCCTACTTAAGGAAGAATGAGCGTCGGGCTCACTGTTTCTATCAAGAAGATCCACCTCCATCTGGGCAACCTGGCTTCTGAGTTCGGTTATCTCTGCGTATATAAACTGTCGGAAACTCACAACGCCCCTCACCTTTGGCAGCGTTGCCGCCCCGATGCTGCACAGCTAACTGCCAAAGGTCGTACAACATCCTGAGATTTGACTTACCCCAGAAAACAATATGACTGTGGCTCAACAGGTCATCCGTGTTAATACCAAGTGCACGAAGTCCTTCGATTAGATCCTCGTCTTTCATGAGGACTTTGACTTGCTGCCCCGTAGTAAAATCGAGCTCAGTCAGATCGAGTGGGTTATCCAAGAGAACGTTTTTGGCTTCGGCCAGCTGTTTCATCTCCGCTGCGACTGCGGCGACGGCCCCGAAAACTTGCACCGATAAGCAGATACATGCTAAAGATGCAGCCCAGGAAGGCAAAGAATAGAGGCATCGCAGCGAAAGGCAAGTTTCCCCTTGCAAAGGCATCCGTCGTGGGCGCCATACCAGGGAGCAGGCCACCCAGACCCAGCGTCAGCATGGCGGACTGCACATCTTTGTGGTCCCCGTTCTCGTTCAGCTCAGTGTCCCTCGCGACCTGCACGAATAGAATGCCACAAATGTTGAAGGAGGCTGGTCAAGAGCATCAAGATGACGATCATGATCATGACGATCATGATACCACTCATGATAACGGTCAACTCAGGGACGCTGCGAAGAATCTGCGCGATAAGCGCCGAGCGCGTGAGCCGTGCGAGCTTCACTATCCGCAAGGGGTCCGTTGGGTAAGCGCCCGAGCCGCCGCCGCGAGACACCAAAGAAACAACGAACACAACCCGCGTCTCGAGCACCATCATTGCAAAAAGAGCTGAATCGAATACGAACCATAAATATCCAATGCACTGAACTTTACGTCTGACTGCGAAAAGCAGGACGAGCCACTACCATAGGCAGGCGATGCAGAACAGGTTCTCCACCAGCTGGAAGCCCAAATCGGCCTCGTACAACACGTCCTTGTCATGACAGTTGGTTTCAATCCCTATCCAGACGACCTTCGATTAAACACTACGATCACCTGCGCGGTTGCTAAGACAGGATACCGCGCAAGCCACGGGGCCGTCCCCTTGGTGCCGTACAGGTCCGCAACATCGTACTCGCCATCCCAGGCCACCCTCTTGGCGGCATCCCCGAGAGCCGTCACGTCGACAAAAGCGTTCGGCCTCGTCTTCTGGTCCCCCCCGCCTGGGATCAGAAACCTGGTGACCCTCGCCACACCTTGTGCTTCGCTCTTGCGTAGCCTCCCTGATGACGTTCTTGACGTGGTTGCCGTCGCCAGCGTTACCCCTTTTGCGAACGACTGCGTCAGAGGACGCTGGATACCGCACGAGGCACTTTTGTGGAAGCAACCTCTGGCCCTTTTGTTCAGTGTCGAGGTCGTCCTTTATTTCACTGTTGAGGGATACCCTTTTGAGATCCCTCTGGCTGGGTGGCGACATTGGGCACGCTGGAGGCACTGGTGCTCGAAGCTGCGGGCACCAGTGCGGCGGCACTCGTCCACAGCTGCGAGCTCGTGGTCACGCCCTCCTCCTGCCGAGCGGGCTTCGCCCTGCCAGGCGAGGCGCGAGTGGAATCGTGGCGGCACAGGGCGTGGAGCGCCCTCGCGTGCCCGTCGAGGAGCCTGGAGATCATCGCGCAGTCCTCCGAGAACGAGGCGCTCGCAGCTCCGCGAAGCTCAGCGCCTCGAGGCCCAGGTCATCGCAGCCCTCGTGCTCCGCCGCGGCAACCCGGCGTGAGGGTCCTGGCGCGGGGCTCGACCACGGGATGGTTCCAGTGCGGGGGGCGCGAGGCGCGCCACAAAGCCGCGGCGTGTCTGCGAGGTGGCGGCTGTCGAGCGGCGGGCCAAGAACTTGAGCCAGAATTGCTGCGGATGCCAGAAATGGTGTTTTGGAAGAGTTCAAGATTATGAGGGTGCAACAGCTACGTTGGTTCGCGGGGTTGACGTCCCAGGAAGGGCGTTCTGGCACGACTCAGGACCGTCAGGCGTTGGAATCTCGAGAAGAATGGTTCGGCATGCTTCAGGTTTTCAAAC